ATATATATATATATATATATATATATATATATATATATATATATATGATTAAAAGTGAACTCTAAATATAGTGTGAATTTATATCAAATGTGAAGTGTCCAATTAAAACAATCTATGGTTTTAGATTCTATAGTATTATCGTAAATATATGATAATGAATTAATCAGTTTTTAAAATTAAACCCTTACAGGGGGAATTTTAGTGTATTAACATATATTTAAAAAAATCATTATTTATCTCCTAATTTGGTGGGATTTTATTAAATACTTATAGGTGTACGATGAACACTTAGGTGGCGTTTCAGTCGCAGAATATTTCTGAAAGAATTTGAATTTATCAAAAAATTGGAATCTATTAGTAATTACTAATTATAATCCAATTTCATATTTTGTTTAGTTGGCAAAAAATGGATTTTAAATCTAAATCCATATTTTGTTTGGTTGACATGAAATAGAATTGGAATAGTATAAAATGATATAACTGCCCTTCTTGTTTTTGCTTATTTGTACTTTGTTTTATAATTTACTAGTTGTGAGACCCATGTGGTAGATGGGTTAATTTAAAAAAAAAGGTTAAATATAAAAGTCAAAATATTTGAGAACTTTGAATTTATAAGAAAATAAGAAAAATAATGAATTATTATTATTGAAATTTTTTTATCTTTTAAATTTAAACAAATAAACAAAAGAAACTAATGAACTTTAATTTGAGAATTTTGAAATTAAAATATAACTTTATTAATGAAATTGATATCCATTTATTACCACATTTATTGCAATTATTACATTAAAATATTATATGGAATTTAATATAATAGAAAAACTCATAAAATGACATGTGAAAAAAAATTAATTCAAAATAACCACAAAATGACATTTAGCAAATTGAATAAGAGTGTGACATATGGCAAAAAACATTCATTTATTAGAGTAGATATGTAAAGATATATTATATAAATTATAAAATTAATAAATGGTGGTGGTGGGTTGTGGTTGCAGTGATGGTGGTTGCGAAAGTGATGAGTGATGGCGGTGGTTGATGGCGTTGGTGGTAGTGGTGGTGATGGTGATGGGTAAAATGTTAATTTTCATAAAATTGTTGAGAATAAGAATGAGTAAGAATACATTAGAAAGAAAAAAAAAGGTGAAAAAGCAAATCTATTTCTTGCAATATCATTGTAAGTATTGTCTTTTCAAAAGAATCTTTTAGGAGAGAGAGAGAGAGAGAGAGAGAGAGAGAGAGAGAGAGAGAAAAAACTCCAACACATATAAAGACATAAGCGAGCGTGTCACACACGATGTGGGATACACTAACAATCACCACCAGAATAGGAATATATAGATGGAAGAAAATTAACAATCAAACATAACTTTCATCCCACAATGCACAGCAGCAGTAATGTTTACGATTTCAAGCGTTACATTAAGAAAGGTTAAGGAAAATCTTTAAAGGTAAAGAGTAAAGTAGAATAGCATGGAAAGCAAAATCCTACACCAGGCACCATTCATATTTCACCATCCCATAGTTCCTCGACTGTCTTGTAGTGACCATGAGTCTCATCCACAAAAGAAGTACCTCTCAGAAGCCTAGCCTGCAAAAACAACAAAGCAAGTTCATGAGACCCCATTTGCAGGACAGGACAGGACTGGACAGAACAAGACAAGACATAACAGGTTGTACCGCCTTTGACACGCATCCATACCTGCTCGATATCAGAAGAGATCTTAGTGAACAAATCATCAGGAATTGACCAGTCAAAAATGTCAAAATTTTCTTTGATCCGGGATTCACTTGTACTTTTGGGAAGTATGCTATGACCCATCTGTAGACCCCACCGTAGAGCAACCTGAGCAGGTGTCTTGTGTAATTTTTCTGCTATTGAAATAAGAATCGGTTGTTTGAGTACATCACTTTTAATGAACGAGGTCCCCGGAGAACCAAGTGGCGAATATCCCTGCAAAAAGTATACAAAATCATATCGTATGTCAATTATTAATTTTTTTTTCTTTTTTTGGTTATTTTTTGAAAATCAATGTTTTTGTTTATTATAGTATGTGTTAAGTGTTAACTCACAGATAAGTGAACGCCTTTGGATTTGCAAAAGTCTCTTAGTTTTGTTTGCTTCCATGAAGGATGACATTCCACTTGGTTGACAGCAGGTGGAACACGTGCAACATCCAACAAATCACCCAATTTCTTGGTGGAAAAATTGCTTACACCAATGGCTTTTGCCTTCCCAGAGTCATAAAGTTTCTCCATTGCTTTCCATGTGTTTGGAATATCTACTGGAGCAAGATTCTCAGGATTAAACCCAACAGATCCCTTCTTCATCCTAACAGGCCAATGTATCTTCAAAATAAATAAAAAAATTCATTGGTCGAATCAATCATATATACAAAAAGATATACAAATTTTTTATGTAATGCATACATACAAGGTATAAGTCGATATAGTCAAGTTGTAAATCATTCAGTGTTCTGTCTAATGCAACTGGTACATCTTCTGGTGCATGATCAGAACACCTGCAAATCATTATAGATTGTTAACTGAAACTTGGAAGGATGTGTGTGTGTGTGTGTGTGTGTGGAAACATGTTATGATATGAGAAGAATCTAGATTCCATGGAATGTGACAAACCAGAGCTTAGAGGTGATCCATAAATCTTCTCGTTTCACCACATCATCTTGAAAGAGCTTTTTCAAAACTATACCAATCTGAAAGAAATAAATTTAACAATCCATACTATTAACAATTTGCAGAATTAGCAAACAGAGAGAAAGAAAATCCAATGAGCAAAAGTTAGTAATTGCATACCTCCCTTTCATTGCGATAAATTTGAGCACAATCAATGTGACGATACCCCATCTACATGCATATGAAACATAACTAAAAGTTAAGACAAAAAAGGTTGATTCTTCAGGACTTTAATGGTACAATGCAGTACAGGTTAGAGTTCAATGTAGTAATATTAGTTTAATATATCATATTAGTACATATTAGATGACTTGAAGAAGAAATGGTATTGGGGGATCCTAAATTGTTAATAGAAACTAAACAAAGCATAAAATTCTTACATGTCATGATTAAGTTTAACAATTGGTTGTAACTTGTAAGAGAATTACAAATCCTCTCATAAGAAATGACTTCATAAAACACGGAAATGTGTGCATCATGTCGCCAATTTTAGGTATCGATTGCTAATTTGTAGATAGCTAAATTTGAATTTGAATATCCGAAGTCGAAACCCTTACTGACCCTGGTTAACTTTATTAAATTGTGCTAAATGTATTTGTTGTAATGACGTAAAGGGGCGACAAACACATGATACGAAATAGAATATACGATCATTACTGAAAGTGATTTTTTCATTACATGATACGAATCGACAGAGAGTAAGAACGGCTATGAGGGAGGGAGGGAGGGTAACCTTAATAGCAGCAGTAACAGCATCACCAACAACACCAGGCTCCGATTGCCATGTGCCGAGACCTACAGAAGGAATCTTGGTTTTGTTAAACAGTTCAAAGAATTGAATGGCATTCGACATTTTCTTGCGATTGAACAAATGTTGAGAATAGGGTTGTATTTTGGAGTGAGGAAGAAGAGAAAACTATAGATTAATAGAGAAGCAGTTTTTTTTGTAACGGCCAGCACTCTTAATTTTAGGCTCTTTTATGTGTCTGAAGCGGAGACTTGGCCAATGCTTCGATATTCATGGCCGGCTGCCGTTTTTTAAAGCTCCAATATTTCCATCATTTTGGTCCCATTTTTTAAAGAATTCAAGTTTTAAATGTTTTTTTTTTCCTAAAACGAACAACATGTTTTTATGAAAATAAAGAAGCCAGCAGACAACTGGCAAAAGTTATCCAAGGGAAAGAAAGGGGACAATTTGACGCTAAAATGAAAACACCAAAAATTCTAACTCTTTGAGATTATAACCCATAAACCCAAGCCCAATGTTTTAAAACCCGGGTCGACCCGGCGGGTTCAACCGGTTAGACCGTGACCCGGGATAGAAGGCGGGTCAATTGAGAACGGTTTTTTGTAAAAATACGGATCGGATCGAACCGGCCGGGTTTCCCCTAAACCGCGGCTCGACCGCTTATGTCGAACCGGTTAAAACCGGATTGACCTGTTTTAATAGGGCTTGGATAGTTGAATACAAGTAGCGAACGCCAAAACAACGAGCCGTTTGCGATTTCTTCAATGTTTTTCAATGTTTAAACTTTGTGGACATCAAATTATTGGTTTTATATGTTTATGCATTATGTCGGAAAGTAAAAATATATAAAAATAGAAAAAGACCATAAACCGGGTTGACCCGATTGACCCGTGAACCGGTCATCACACCGGGTCAACTAAAAACCCGGGTTTTAAAACATTGCCCAAGCCCAATTTGCAACTCATTGTAGAGAATTGCGGTCGACATATTGAAGGCCTTCTTCTCCATTACATAAACCTCGTCCCTGAAAAAAAAAATCAAGATAAAACCTAAAAAACAAATTGTTTTCAGACATGGAAACCTGCAAATGTCGATGTTCTGTTTCACATGTCAATTTTGTTTTATTCAACTTTATCAATCTTAAAGGCCAGATATAGGAATTGGATGGGGAAACCTCATGGATCTTGAGGAAACAAATACGGATTCTCTCTTCTGGTTCGTGAAGTAAACACATATACTAATACATATAGATCATCTCTTTTGGTTCTAGCTCATTTTAAGCCTACTTTAGAAGAAGAAATTCAGGTGAATTCGACTTGTTATGTATTTATGTTTAGGGTCGATTGGTTTTGGTATTAAATCAGTTTAATTGATTGATCTGAAAGGAAAGAAAATTGAATTTATTTGATTCAAAAACCAAGAGTAGATTGCAGTAATGGTCCTTGTGTTTTGGTCAAATTCACAATTTCAGTCCAACTTTCAAAAAGTTGATAATATGTCATTGATCTATGTAAAAGACAAAATTTCACAAATGGTCCTTATGGTTTTCATTTTTTCTCTAAAATAGTACCTATGAAATCTTTTTTTGGACGAATTGTCCTTTAGAGCAAACCTTGCACACCAATGTCCAATGGTCCATCTAATGGATGTATGTTAGATGGATCCGTTAAGTTGAAATAGTTTTGGATAAAGACAGTATCATTTTGTGAAACTTTGTCTAAAGACAATTCGTGAAACTTCGTCAAAGAAACATTTGTTAAAATTTAAAGAAGTTTATTAACTCTTGTATTAATTATCATAAATTAAATAAAAAGTCAAAAACTTAAACTTAAAAAATGTAATATTTATATTAAAAAAAAAACCCTTACAAATTTCATTTATAAATTTTTTTTGTTTGAACTTTATCTAAAATATTCAAACTACAATGCAGAGATAGGTTCAAGTGTTTTAACTAAGTATTGTATTATTGTATGCATGATTGTGGACCAATCAAAAGATAATAGAAAAAACAATAATTAAATAAATCAATAAGGGTAACTAGGTAATTTGAGAAATAACTTCCACAAATACTCCCTATAATTTTGCTAGTTACGTTGAATTTAACCTAATTCCCCCCTTTTATAAAGGGCCTACTGATCTGATCAATCTTCCCCCCTTTTGCAGGTGCGCTTCGTCTTTCGATTTGTGAAGAGGGAGGATTCTCCGGGTCGACGAGAACGAAGGAAAGGAAAACGTGAGGACCTAGGGGGTTTGGCTAGACCGAAGGATGAAGAAGAACGAAGCAGCAAGCTGCTGTCGATTCTCGGTGGCTGAAGTCGTAAGGAGGTGAGCACCTCCGTTGTTCGAATGGTCCGAAGAACAGGGAAGAGGCAACGAGAGCTGTCGTCGACCTTAGGGGTTATTTGCTCGGTCGGCGAGAAAAAAGGGCAGCCGATCCCCGGCAGACCTTCATCTCTGATTTGGGTCGACTTCTTTGGTTGATCAGGAATGAAAGACAAAGGCAACAATAGGGGTTATTTGCTCCGGTAATTCCTTGTCTCTATCTTCTTTCTATTTTAGATCATTGGCTTTGATTTCAACAGAAATGGAACAAAATAGCTTGTTTTTTACTGGAAATGAAAGGGAATCTGCAGGTGTTTGAGTTGAGGCTTGGTCACCGAAACAAGAAGCGACAGGGGTGGAATTAGCAGGTTTGGAATTAACAGAAATGGAACAAAACTTGTCCATTTGGCAGCAAGTATAAAGTTGACCCTCTATAAAGCCATTAAGGTAAACCATGAAGTATATATTTCTGTTGTAGGATATTTAGATAAAGATAAGTA